CTTTTCAATTGAATCCGTGCCTAACTTTTAATTTGCCTGTGTGTAAATATAATTCATAGCCAACTTTTTTGGATAATCCAGACCTTAGAACTTCTTCCATAAATTTGGACCGTCCGATCAAATCCATGAACCTGAAAAATCCTACTATAGTATTGCCACTTGCTTTTGTGTCAAATATGAAACTTCCATTTCTTTACTACTTGGAGCTTTTTCTAAAAGAGACGTCGCCCATATGTTGGTCCTCTTAATTTCATGAAAACCGTATGCAATACGAGAGAAAGAGTGGGTTTTTTGGTTGTCTTCATCGTCGTCATCATTAGAGCATTTTTCCAACTAATTAGGGTCGGCCATACGGATAATGGGCTTTCCAATCTAATATGAAAATAAATACGATATACAAGGTATTTCCCTGGATGAAAGTCGGAAATAAAATACTTCAAAGAAATAACTAGCCCTTGACCTTTGCTTTAATTGCCGAATCATTGGTCTTTTTATGTTTTGGTACATATAAAAATATTTCTATGAAAATATTTTCATATAAAATATCTGTCTCATGTGATTAGGTGTTAAAAATTTTTCACACTAATTGACTAAATTGACATAAAAAAATTTGTTGGACCAATTGGTATAAAAACTCCAGCACTTAATCTCATGAGGGAGTTCTTTCATATGAAAATATTTTCACAAAAGTAGTTTCACATGTGCCAAACATACCCTTATTATAGTTTTGCTAATTTAGATTGCAAATCAATAACGATCATTTTGTTTTTAGTCAGGAAAACAAATTGCACCAATTTTGATAGTCTCGCCCAGTGGGAATCGGCACCCCCGTGCCGGTTCCAGCAAAACACACAGAACCGCACGTGTCTAGAGAGAACTAGGCGATTCTGAACAGTGAATCGCCTGAGTCACTGTACAAATATGGGTGAACAGTAAAAAGCTTTGTGAATCATCAAAATTTAGCTTTTTTTTTATCATTTTTTTGTTTTTTCAGCCTTTGAATCTAATATTTCAGCTTTTATCTTCAACTTTTCAGCCTTATTGTTCGATATATTGGAGTAGAACGCATCAATTTCGATCACAAACCATTGGATTTATGAAGAACATGAGTTTTTTTATTAGGTTTTCGCCAATTCTTAGATTTCAAGTAAATCGGGCATCATTTTTTATAAGAGAGTTATTAATCTTAAAAGTGTTATTGAGAAGAAATTATATGTACTTTGAGATTATTTTGGTTGATTACAAGTCAGATTTGGGTTTGAAGCCACGATTGCAGAAAAAACAGGTAAGAACTTCGATTTTCTGCCATTTAATTGATTGTATTCAAGTTTTAGCAAATAATTTTTTTATAGTATAGGGTTTTGATTCCTTATAGTGTTATTTATTATAAAATGTAACCAATTTGATCTATTTTGTTTGATTTGAGGTGGATTTTTTAGTTCAAATCACTGTTGTCAGGATGGGTCTGCGTTTTTTTTTTTTTTCGGCCATTCGTTGGATTACAAAAGAAATACGTCAGGGAAATTAGTCGTGATTGTGTTATTCTTCAGAATTTGTACACCTTTTTGTGTTGATTTTGGTCGATTAGAAGTGAAGTTTGAAAAGTCGGTTTTAGAAAAACATGCATTTTTCACCATTTAATCGATTTTGATCCATTTTTTGCAAATTTTGTGTCATATCATGGGGTTTTAGTCCTTTATAATGTTATTCAGAAATATTTGTATCTCATTTTTCATTTTTTGGTTGATTTGTAGTGGATTATAGATTTTGAATCATGGTTTTGTGAAGAACATTTAGTTTTTTTTTTTTTCCCGGCAAACTACAAATATGAGACGAATTGAAGCACTATTATGAATTATTTCAGATGATTTTTTAAGGTAATATTGTTCTTCAATTGATTTTGGGTGTAATTATTTGGATTAAGCAATTTTTATTGCTCGATTTTGGATGAAGAGGAGTTGTGGCTGTGTTTTTAAAAAATTAAAATTTTGATGATCAATTGTTTTGAAAAATCATGATTTTCAAAAAAATTATGAAAATAGTGACCAGGTTTTGACTATAATGAGGAAATAAACTGTATTTTAAATTTTTATTGTTAGATTTTTAATGCAAAAATTTTATGTTTATAGATAATTGATTCAAAAAAATACATGTCATTAAATTTTTAATGCAATTTTTTTTTTTAATTGTTAAACTGTATTTTTTATTTTCAATGCATAAAATGTATGTATATTATTGATAAATATTTTTTCACTATATTATCTTGAATGACTATATCATTGTAAATATTATTTGTGGCATATATGTATATTCTTGGTATTAAATGTATGAATATCATTGTAAAAAAATCGTGGCGTATGATAATTATATTATCTTGCATTTTTTAATTTTATTGTTAAATTTTTAATATAAAAAAATGTATGTTGATACATAAATTGTATATATAATCTTGATAATTAAGTTGTAGGCAAGTTTGAAACTTGCATTTTTAATTATATTATCTTCCATTTTTGTAATTGAGATGTATGACTATTTGTTCTCATTTTAATTGAGTTGAGATTGTGCCCACATATTGTTATATACTTGCTAGAAACTAATTTTAAAAGAGGTTTTGAGTAGGTTAGGCGATGCTATCATGAAAACCAATGATTAAAAGTACCTCCATTTTTTATTAGATTCCTAAAAATAGCATTTAATGAATTTTAATAATTATTTTCAGATTTTTTTTTTAAAGCTTAATCTGACCGATTCAGCCGATTCCCGATCCGAATCGCTGATTCACCGATCTGGATGGGTTTTTGAGGTGCTCGATCTGGGGCACCGATATGTTTTTTAAACCATTGGTCTCACCTAATTCTGTTAGAGAATTAGGCGAGCCATCAATCAAATGAATCAGGCTATTCCCACCTATTTCTTGTTTTTATTATTTTTCCAAATTCTAAACTTTCTTCAAATTTTAAATTTTAAATTTTTTTCAAATATAAGTTACTAGGAAGTCTTAGTATCAAGTGATTTCAAATTGGGATCATATACAATGAGACCATTTACCTTCGGTAGAAGGAGGTCATAATTACTTACAATCATCCCATTCGATGTAAAATCTGATAGCTTAGGCGTATCTGAAAGTTCGAGAAAATTTATTTTGAACTTTGAACTTGGTCAATGAAATAAATGTGGCCACCCAACTTCAAATTTAATAACCTTGTACCAAAGGTAAATGGTGTCATTGTATAGTTTCCCTTTCGATATAAGTTGATAAAGAGAAGGGGGTGTGCCATTTCTCTCCCATGAACATGAAAAAAATTTAGTTGGAGCGAAGTGCAGTCAATGATGGACCCCATCCACCACATTTCACATTTGATGGGCAGCGGAGACTGTGACTTTTTATACCAAAGCTATACAGTCTTTCAAATTTTACATTTCTTAATATGTTGAAAATGTATCTCATGCTTCGGTGAGTTTGGTATCTGAAATATCTATGATAGTCACTATTTGTTTTCTTGGGTAGGTTTGATTGGTATGGATCTTTGAAAGTTAGGATTAATTTATGTAAAGTTTTAAAATTTGAAGGGAAAGAGACGTATACTCCCTTTTTCTGCCCCTTCTCTTTAGGTTAAATTCAAAATAAACCCTCAGGCCCATAGGAAGCCTGTGGCAACCATTTTAGTTGAAAGAACATAATATTTAAGCCCTTCCATTTTTTTTTTTTTCCAAATTACAATATTTAATTTAATTTGTTTTTCTAATAACTTTATGTGAGGTCTTCGGGAACTCTTGGTACTAGGAATCTCAAATAGCAAAATCTCATTTAAGATCTTGTACATAGTTGGCTAAATTTTAAATAGATGAATACAACTATAAATCAAATGCAAGAAATAAAGTAAAAACAAAAACACACTATAACGGCGTATGATTTATTTAGTTCACCATATACGTCCACTTCCTCAGTAAGTAGAAATCGAATATTTCAATGAAGATTATAATTTTGGATTATAAGAAATACACATCTATCTATACATGTGAAAAACCTCACAGATCTTTCTTAATATATTTGCTTCTCACGACCGATCAAGACCATCAATTAACATCATTTTTCCTATAGCTACACTACTACTAGAAAGATCAAATTGAAAGCAACCGAAAAACTTTTTTTCTCTAAAAGCGAAAACTAAACCAACCCAAAATCTCATGAAAATATCATGTCTCACTCCCACTCTCTCTCTCTCTCTTTGAAACCCTAAACTTTTTTAGAGATTCTTTCTCATGAACCCCAAAGGGTGACCTTTAAAAGAAATGAGTATTATGTCTTATGTAACCCCTTTAAGAAAGATCACTAAAGCTTCATTATTATTTCCTAAGAAAGCCCATTTTTCTCTTTTCCATAATACTTTTAATGTTTTAAAAAAAATATAGGTGTGGTGATTTTGACTATCACCATATCTAAAAATCTCTATCTTGATAACAAAATCATCATATTTGTCTTGTCAATTTTCATTGAATAGATTTCTTGATTTTTTATATCTTATCATAATTGTGAATTTTTCACAAAAACTTTTTTTTCATTTTTCTTTTAGTCTTTTTAAAAATCCTAATTGTGGTGAAGTTCATGAGATGATGAGATAGAGAAAGACAGGAGTTCAAAGGCGGGTACGAGGTTAACTTTTTGAGGATTTGAATAGTAATGTTATGTAGGGGAAAAAGGATAAAAGAGGTTTGAATGTAGTTTTCTTTTAATTTGAAAGAGATCCATAGGCTTTTTCATAAACTCCAAGATTTATTTCAAATTACAATTATAGAGATGGGGATAAGGAGAGGGAAATATATATATATATATATATTTTTTTCCCATATTTTAACTGTATATTCAGGTGATTAGCCAGCTGTTATGTTCACTTTAAGATAAATAAGTGGGCATTTTCGAGCTACTTTTTATTCTCTCACTAAATAAAATAAGAAGCATCCCAAAAGAGAGCTAGACAATGATAGCAGACGCGTATACAAAGGAATGGAATAAATCAATAAATAATAAGACGACCCCCAACACGAACGACTCTCTATTTCATATTGGCCGGCAGATTCGCCATTACCGGTCAACCCAACTCCTCCTCTCCATTTCCAATCCGCATCTCTCTCTAGAAAACCTCTCTCTCTAACCACATAAAACTCTCTCTCTCTAGCCAGATAAAACACCTCTCTCTCTCTCCAACACCAAGTTCTTCCTCTCTCTGTGTCCTTAAGAATGGTATTGTGAAATCCTGGTTTCATGAATGGCTGCATATATATGTTGGGTTTGCTGGAAATGACGAAGTTTCGCGGGCAAATGGTGAGAGTTCACGTGAAATGGGGCCTGGCTCGGCAAGTTTCGTTTCTGAAGAGAGTCTTTAGGTATCTAATTGACCGGATTCTGGCGTGTTCCTGTGATAGGAGGAGTTCTTATAAGAGGTTGGAGATGAGCCCTTCTGCGTTTTCCGGCCGATTTTTGCCGGAAAATGGTTTTCAGGAGAGTGTTTTGAAGTGCATGAGTGGGGATTCAGATGGGGACTCCAATTTGGTGGTTTTGAAAATCAGCCTTCTTGGGGATTGCCAGATTGGTAAAACCAGTTTTATGGTGAGAATTGTGGTATTTTGTTCTTGTCACAAAAAATTGTGGTGTTTTGTTGAATGCTTGTTTTTTAGGGTCTTTCTCTAGTCTCTAATATTTTTTTTTTTCCAAACATATATATATATATATATATATATGTTTTGATTTTGGTTTTTCAGCTGTTTCTTGATATATCGTGTATGGGTTGATTTATTTTTTCCATTTTTAGTCTCCCTCACAAATTTTCCTTCTTTTTTTTTTAAATTTCTTGTTTTAATTTTTATATTATTGTTTACTTTTTTAAAAAAAATTTGCTTGAAGTGATTTATATTAGGTTGAAGCCCTAAACAATCAGACTAAGACATAGTTGAAAGATGATTTTTCAGCGGCAAAAGTTTTTGATTGACTGAAAACTTATTTTTTATTTTTAATTATAAAACTTAAAACTCTAAAAATAATGTATATCAATCAAATCTATAAACACTTGAAAGTACTGAAATTGATGGCCTATACAATATATTGCAAGACACACTATTTGCCAGACTTTTGAAATCTAATTTTTTTTCACGTTTACACGTCCGGAGGAAGTCGAGATGATCAATTTATGGGTTTTTTTGACACGGAAACAATCTCTTGTAGTGTATTTTTGATGTGCGCTTTATTTTGATTGTTTAGGGCCTTAACCTTATATAAATTTTTTTCTTTTGCATAATGGGTTTTTTCCTACAAAGCTATATACTTTTTCTACCCAATTACTGCGTAGTTTTTTTTTTTTTGTAATAAAATGGGCTAATTATAGTTTATTTTGCATTTGAAGACTAAATATGTGGGAGATGAAGAGGACAAGAGTTGTCTACAAATGACGGGGTTGAATTTGATGGACAAAATATTTTTTATTCAAGGGGCGAGAATTGCATTCAGTATTTGGGACGTCGGAGGTTTGAATAATTCTTCTTTCTTTTTATATCAATTTTTTTCTTTTATTATTCTTTTTTTTTTAATGTCTCTTCTTTTTCTTTTATTATTCTAACCACATTTTATTTTTATTTCCAACCCCTTTCTCTGGGGTTTATCATTTTTATATTTTCTTCTTTTTCAAATTTGTAGGGGATAGGCAGTTTCTAGATCATGTTCCGGTGGCATGTAAGGACGCGGCCGCAATTTTAATAATGTTCGATCTCACTAGCCGAAGTACATTAAACAGGTAATTTTTCCATTATTTTTGCTTCAATATGTTTTATTTAAATTTATGTCATTGCTAAATTTTGCAGTGAATTCGATTGATTTTATTTGTTTAATGGGAATTTCCTCTCTTCTACATACAGTGTTATTGACTGGTATCGACTAGCAAGGCAATGGAATCAGGTTTTTGTTTTTGTTTTTCAAAATATTTAATTATAGGTGTGTTTTGCATAAGATAGCAACCTTATGTAAAAATAAGGTCCTGATTGTTTGTATCATCCAATTTAATTAGACGTTGTAGATTTGACTCCGCACCGTCTGAATATAATGGATGGTGTAAATTACTGTAGCCTAAACTTCAACAAAAAGTTGTAAGTTTTACATAAACTTTTTCATTTAAGCATTTTCTTTGCAATTATAGGTTTTTCTCTATGCAATATTATATTTAAGTTTTTTTTTTTTTTTTTGTTAATTAGACAGCAATTCCGATTCTGATTGGGACCAAATTCGACGATTTTGTTCACCTTCCTCCTGATATCCAATGGACTATCGTTAATCAGGTACCCTATTTATTGTTTATGTGAAAATTAAATATCGATTTTTTTATTAATTATGTGAATAAGAGATATTAGAAAAATATAAAAATTTGATAAAACATGTGAAATAGAAAAGAATGTCTGTCGGTTAGGTAGTTATTTATGACTTTACATACCAACTAAAATCACGTGCGGAGAAAGTTCAATTGAACTTTTATGTTTAGGACCCGATTTTTATGCGGCCAAGCCCATAGAAATGTGCGTTTCTTGATAAATCTATTTTTTATATAGATTTTAAGACGTAATTTTTAAAGACATGTAATCCTTAATATGGAGATCATGAATAGGAATAAATAAATAAATTTTAAAATTTAAAAATAATAATTCTTATTAGAAAACATTTAGACCGTTAGTTTCCATTGTTTTTAGATGAAACCCCTACTTAAAAATAGCTGGACCACATATGTAGAAATGCGGCCGAGCCCACATGAACCAATTTTCCTTGTGCTTATTATGGAGATGAGTTTAATTTCTTAATAGGGATAGCTAGAGTACTTAGAAAATACTCATATGAGAATCCTAACTTATCTCAAATATATACCACTTTATATATATTAAAAAAGAACTCCTATTTTACCTTTTTTTAATGCTAACCATTATGGCTAACAATGGGCCGGGTGGCCCGGCTCTTAAAAAGTAGGACCTGGGCTACAAAATCGTGGCCCAAGGATTGGGTTAGGGTTAGTGATGACCCCAATTCAGCCTGGCCTGACCCCCAGTTGGTCAGGCCTAATCTTATGGTGACTAAGGACTTGACCAGGACCTGGGCTACAAACTTGTGGCCCTATGACTGCACTAGGGTTAGTGATGACCCCGATTCGGCCTGGCTTGACCCCCAGTTGGCCTGGCTTGGTCCTATGGTGACAAGTACCGGACCAGGGCTTGGGCTACAAAATTGTGGCCCTAAGACTGGTCTAGGGTTAGTGATGATCCCGATTCAGCTTGGCTAGACCCCCAGTTGGCCTGGCCTGTGGCGACAAGGGCCAGGGCTGGGCAGGGCTGTTGCCAACTTGTAACCATGACTTACTAAAACAGAATGGCGTATGTGTGGGGATTGGTTCTTCCACGCCGGCATGATTGAATTCTTTGAAAAAAATTCCACTCTACTTGTTAGCGGTATTCTCACTTGGTCGACTAATCTTAAGTGGGAAACTGGGATGGTGACTATCACCATACCTCAATGCGCTTTGAGAGAGAGAGAGAGAGAGAGGGTTGAGGACTTTTTGAGAGAGAGAGAGAGTTGATGCCTTTCTCTTTTTGAGTGGAGGGAGTAGAATATTTGCCTTTTGAGGGTGAAAGAATCTCCTTTTAGAGTTAAATAAGGTTTCTGGTGTAGGATTTATCAAAACAAAATAAAGCATCACCTCAAATCTTTGTCTAGAAAGGTGGTTCCAAAATCAATTTAATAAAATTTTAAACTTAAATTGATACCGATCTTACATATATGTGAACACTTATTTGTAGAGCAAAATGGAAGGTCTGGATATTTTGTTATAAGATACACCAGTAGAGCTTGAAATCCTTTTTTTTTTTTTTCACGAACTGTAATGTTCAAGTCGATATGATTGATGTAAAGGTTTTTCACTATTTGAATTGTAATTTAAAAAAGTTATGAGATGAGGATTTACTTATTTTAATAGGCCTGCATCCCTACCAAACTATTTTCGTTTAGGATTCCCACAGCACACAAAAATTTCCCTTTCCAGATAGGGCGAGACATAGAAGGAGGGTTTAGGGTTGAGGTATTTTAGGGAAATCCAAAAGGGAAGGAAAATACGCATTTCACATTAGAAACTCATAAATTATTGGAAACTACATCCAAATAGAGATTGGGCCTAATCGTGGTGGTAATACCATCCGACCATCAATTAAAAGGTGACAGCCTCCATTCTCGCTAATATTTTCAATGAAACTACATCCAAATTACATGTGTAATTTTTATATATGGTTCCCACAAATTTATATAGTTTTTATTATTATTCTTTTAATACACCTAGGTTGTCCCCAAGTATTGGGCTTGGCCAGGGGCCTAGGATTAACCACTGATTTACATACCATAACACCTGCCCATATTTCTGTTTCTTAATAATTCACATTTTACACTACAGAGTACAGACTATCCATTTACTCCTATGATTATTCAAAATTCTAAGGCCGAAAATTCGCAGGCGAGAATGTATGCACATGCCATGAAGGCCACCCTCTTCTTCTCTAGTGCGCTACACAACATCAATGTGAACAAGATTTTCAAGTTCATCACAGCCAAGCTCTTCGATTTGCCGTGGAGCATAGAAAGAAACTTGACGATCGGGGAGCCAATTATCGATTTTTGAGGACTCTTGGGGCACGTTTGACAACCGGAACTTTGGATGTGGGGCCCTCGGATTTTGTAAATAGGAGATTGTCGGCTGCACGACAACTGTCTTCGCCGCGTGGTAGAAAGATCGACTCGCGCCGATTACTTGCCTTGAGCCGGTTACTTGGTCCGAGTTGGGCCGACTTCGGGGTTTGTATACTCGGCCAGTCAAACCGGAACCGGACACTGGCCAATCAAGTTTTAGCCAGTTTGGGTGATCCAACCAGGTTTTTAGAAATGAAAAAAATCCTAAAAAAATAAGGGATTTGTTTGTAATGTGTTTTTGAATATTTCTTATCATTTTGACAAAGATCGGAAAGTGTTCTGGCCATGAATACTTATTTTTACATGTTTCCATCTATTTTGAATTTTTTTTAAAATACCCCTGGGAACAAATCCGTTTTTTAAAATCCATTTTTTTTTGCTACTTTTCAACTTCATTTGGATGTGCTTTATTTAAACACGTTTTAAATATACTTTTTCATATTTTTTGGATTTTTAAGTTTGTTTTGGTTTTCAATACTTTTTGTACTGACCAAGGCCTGCCTGATTAAGCCCATTCAACCAGTCAGTTCACTGGTTACTTGGACCCGGCCGCCCTTGGCCGGTTTTTTACGCTAGTTCGATTTTTTCAAACACTAGCCGACTTAGGGCGAAGCCAAAACGTGTTGAAAATAAAAAATGTATAAAAAAATCCAAAAAAAATATGTTTAAGGTAAAACTAAACAAAATCCATCTAAATGAGGTTAAAATATTAGTGAAAAAATAGATTTTGAAAACATTAATTTGTGAAGGGGTATTTTAAAAATAGGATTGTATATAATGAGACCATTTATCTTTTATACAAGGTATGTGGTTACAATTATGTACAACCATCCGATGTGAAATTTGATAGCTTGGGTGTGTCTTAAAGTTTGAGAAAAATTTCTTTGAAGTTTGAGTTTGGTCAATGAAATAAATGCAGCTATCTAATTTCACATCCAATGGTCAAGATTATTTATGACCACCTTATATTAAAGATAAACGGTCTCATTGTATACTTTTATTTTAAAAATAAATAAAAAACGAAGGGAAAAAGTAAAAATAAGTATTCACGGGCAACACAGTTTTCACTTTTGATAGAAAACATAAAAAAACATATTACAAATAAATTTCTTATTATTTGAATTTTCATAATATTTTTTAGAAGTTTTAAGATCCCATATTGGACCATCGAACTCAAGGATACTTGGGATCACCAGGGTCGCTGGTCCGAGTTGGCTCACCCAAGTAAATGTTTGGTGTTTCACTGGACACACCTATTGTGCATTCACTTTTCATAGTCGTTATTAGATATGGATTTTGGATCTAAAATCTTATATATCAATAATTTCGACCACCATGATTGTGAATTTGTTATTTTTAACTTTATTTGGACTATTAATTTTATTTTTTCCTATTAATTTTATTTATTTTTACAGATCATTAGATCTATGCTACTTTTCGAGTAATTTATAAATATAATCCAAAAATACACTTCGTAGTTATTTTGGATGGGTTTTGAACCATAAAACATCCAAAATCAAGGTGGACTCATATGATCCAACTGACGATAAACTTTTCAATAATTAAAAGAACAAGTTTATGTGAGGTGTCAATCCTTATACTATAGAAGTAATGTGCACATAAAAAATCCATTAGAAAAGGTTGTTACAAAGCTTGAAGATTCATCAATTGACTATCTCAACTTCAAGATGTTAGATATGACAAAAAAAAAAAAACAGGACAAAAAAAAACAGGACTTCAAGTTTTTTATAGTTGACTTGACTATCTATTTTTAAGACTTTAAGTGTTCATAGATATGCTCGAACTCGAACTGTCCAAATATTTATACTTATGTTTGATCTACATTATTTTTGGAGATTCAAATTTCATAAGTAATGATAAAAGTGGATTTTGAGACCATGGTAAAAGTTTTCGATACCAAAAATACATATTTGGACAAAGTTTGAAGATCCGCCTTAGATTGTTTAAGGTGGGCACCTCACCCATAATTAGGTGCAAGGAAAAGGTCTTTGTAGGAGAGAGGTATGGCAAGTTGTTAGAAGTGGTCAATTTTCATGGCACTCTTTCCTCTCAACCTAATTTGTTGTCTGGTGACTGAATCGTAAGAAAGCAGCCAGTGTTTTTTCATTATTAAATGCGTTGCATTTTCCTTTCCTTATTATGATGTTTGTTGGATCAAACAAGTTTTCCTCATATTCTTTATTATGACCTTCTATTTACCATTGAAAAAAAAAAAACCAATAACCTTTTTATGTTGTCAGCTTTCAACATCAACACGGGTAGAGGTGGCAGCGGGTGGGCGCCCGGGCTAGACCATCAGCTTTGGCCCTAATCCCAATAGCACCACTCCTAGACCAGCCTTGACCGGGCTGTAGAGCCCTTGGCCAAGCTTTGGACATGTTAGGGCTGGGCTGGACTGGACCAAATAAAACCTAAGAAAAAAAGAGAAAAAAGACGTAAGAAAAAAGTGGCCTAGCCCTAGCCCTAGCCCTAGCCCACCTTGGACTACCCGGTTCATCCCTCAAGCCATGGTACCCGGGCCCATCCTAACCCTCAGGACAAATCTTGTGGCACAGGCTCTATACGGGTGTTAAAAATATTCATTTCAATAGTAGCCATTCAAATAATGGTGTGCTTGTTTGTCATTTTAAAAAATATAGAGATGAGATTTTACGCGAGTTTAAGCATTTTTATGGTGAAATTTCAAGAACAAATATCCATATGAAGGGTTCAAGTTTCTAAAGTGTCAAATAAAAGCATCGCTTTCTTGATGTGTTGACAGGCACAAAAAATCCGATATGTATGTCTATGTTACATAGATTGAGGGCCAAAAATAAAGACTTGCCATCGAGGATTGAGATCTTGAAAAACTTTATGAAAGCCCATAAAAATGCTCCATCTTGATTTCTATCTCAACATTTGATTTAGACCATCAATTTCAATGGACCCAAAACCTATAAGATTTGTATCATTTTAAGAGCTCCAAATCTAGTTTTTTAAACTAAAAAATGGACTTATATCTTTGTATCTTTAGTAGGGGTTTTGGGACCTTTATAGCTTTTAATCCAAGATTTGCATGGATAATTTTCAAAGTCCAATATTTTTTTTTTCTTTTTTGTTTTTGGGTGAATCAAATTACAATCTTACTTGACGCAAATAGAGAGTGAAATCTCTTAACCATAGTGAATATTCATCTACTTCTATTTAGTCATAATGAAAGCATGTTTTGCACTATTATCATGGATAAAACTTACACTTCCATTAGCTAGAACTGAGATCATAATCAGAAAAATACAAAAGGTACAGAGTTGGGTGAAGTAGAATTACTTGGGCAAAAAATTGGTCGCTCCTGTTATAGTTGTCGTGAAATCTGTGAGAGATATTTCGATTATTTTAACAATTTAAAGTAATTTTTTTGCGGGAAAGTTGAAATTAAACAGTTTTGAATTGCACTAATTCATTGATGGCAAGAAAGGTAGATCCAAACAATCAAAGCACTCGCGCCTGTGGCAGAAGTTGCTCTTTGCTCGAGTGCTTTTGGAAACAGCACAAGTTTGCTTCCGGGACCAAACAAATAGTTCTTTACTTTTAAGTCTTATTGCTTCAACGACTAAGCCTACACTATGCGGGGATCAAAGCCTGCCAAAATGACATCTTGCTATACCCAGAATAGTCGAAAGTTACAGAAAGAGTTAGGATGGAGGCGGTTGTGTGCCAAATAGGGTCGCCGTTAAGTGAGCCTATTTACGAGCATAACGATAAGCCTTCTGTTAGTGAGTTCAAGGGATTAAACGACTTTATTTCCTGTCTCTATTCTATATTCATCAACACATAATAATTCTAAATTCTTTAGTTTGAAATCAAAGGCTATAAACTTTATTTAAGTTGGTTGAAGGAGGGTTTTAACTTTTAAGCCCTTGATTTATGGAAGATGGACGTCTAATACATGAGCAGACCCACATGTTTCGATTGCTTTAGAGGGCGGGTCTCCTTAGCATCTTCTCAAGTGGGGGAATGCACGGCTATGATTCGTGCGGCCCCCGCCAATGCCAACGAATCTCAAATGTTTTTGGGTTTTTAGTTTGGGAAAGTTCCCCTACATAGAAGTTCTATGTTCTCCTCTCCCTACCATCCAGCTCTTCATTTTTTATCAAGATAGACACTCAGCGTTTGATCTTAGATTCTACATCTCAAAATATTTTATTTTTAGTTTTCATAATACCATGTTTTTTAATATGAAAATTGGTACGCGCCATCTTCTCATTGGGGTGTACCTATAAAAAATATTAACAATAATTTTTCGATAAAAATAATGACCGAAATACCCCTTAAAATTTTCAAGGTATTTTGGTAATTTTATTTTATTGAAAATATTTTTTTTATATTTTTCGTTAGTGCGAGTTCAATATAGGAATGGCCTTCCAAAATTTGGTGTCAAAACAGTTTATAGAAAAAAATTAAAAATAAAACAGTGTAGAGACGTGACATTGTGATTGAAGCAATCTTAGCCCTCCATTAAAAAATGGATGGTTGGATAAAGGGGAACATAGAACTTCTATGTTGTAGGGGAAGATAGAAAGCTTTCACTTTTACTTTAGCTAGTTGAATTAAAACATTTTTGAAAAAGTTCATATAAGTGTGAGGCTCTAAATAATCAAATTAAGGCGCAGTTCAAACATTAAAATTCACTAAAAAAAGTTATTTTGATGTTGAAAACCCTTCAATTTCATCATCTCAACCTCAAGATATAGGGACAAGAGAAAAAAAAAAGAAGAAGTTTAAGCATTGAAAATAATGCATGTTGTAATGTACTATCTAGACTGTCAATTTTCAAGATTTTCAAGAGTTCATAGATCTGCTTGATCTACACTATTTTTTAACTTTAATTTTTATTATTAGACATAAAAATAAAATTTTAGGCCATCATAAAGATTTCTAATATTAAAACAACGTATTTTGGCAATATTTAAAGGTGCACCATGTTTTGATTGTTTAGAGCCTCGGCCCTATACAAACAAGACCCAAACATTTTTTTGTTTCATATTTTTAAGTATTTTCTCAAGAAGCAAAAGTAGTTTCATTTTGGCTGCAAGTGGATTTTAAGAAAGGGAAATTACTTGGAATAATTATGGAGTTTTTACTATTATGTGATGATTCAATTTTTTTTTGTCCATTTTTTTTTTTCCATTTTTCACTTTTACCCTTAGGCGGTTTTTATTACAAAGAAAATTGTTTGGTCTATGCATTGGAGGACACATTTCTATATTTGCATTCATCAACACATTTCTACAATTGCATCCTCCGATGCATTTCTATATTTGCGATCCCAAGCAATTGAAACTAACGGTCTAAAAGTTAAGTTTTTCCCAGGCAATTGAAATAACGGTCTAAAAGTTTTATTCATAAAATTGTTATTTTTTGATTTTTTCATATTCATAATCTCCATATTAGAGATTATATGCCCTTAAAAATTGCGTTTAGAAATCCATCCTAAAAATAGATTTTTAAGATGGGACTCATTTCTACATGAACTCATGTAAACCATGTTCTTATTTTAAATTGGACATGGTTTCTCTGCGGCCATCCCGCATATTGTCGAAATGCAGGCATGGCAATAAATATATATTTGAAATATAATTTGATTCTAATTTTTAGATAATATATAATCTTTAACATAGAGATCATGAATATGAATTTTTTTTTTTGAAAACTAAAAATAATAATTATATTAAAAAAATATTTGAACCGTTAGACAACCTATTTGCATCCATCTTTAAGATGGATGCTTTATACCTCTGGACCGATAATTGTAGAAATGCGATCCAGCCCGCCTAAAACAATTTTCCTTTTGAAATCCTTGTATTTAACTGCTGTTGTGCTACCACCATATCCACACTTGCACTAGGGTTCTACTTAACACGAGCTATACTTGTATGGGGCCGTACTTGCGCCGGTTGTACTTGCTCTAAAGATGTGCCACAACTGAAGTTGTACCAGGACTGAGCATGTTCTAGAATTGGATTTATATTTGCACTGGAGCTGCACTTGCATTGTAGCTTTTGGTTTTCCATTTTTACTACTAACTTGGAGTATGAGATGGTGTCATTTTTGCCGAAGTATTGAACACCCACAGCTTGAGTATGGGAACCAATATTTCATTGGGTTCAAGGGAGTATACTAGGTGTACAAATAGTTCGATTGAACACCTTTTGATATTTCTAGTTGTACGCTCAAAAACTCTTCTAGAATCACAATTAACAATTATTCGTATAAATTTGCGTTCAAATTAGTAGAGAAATGAAATGCATCAATTTAAAACAAATCACGATAAAATCAATAGAATTAATACTCGAATTTCAGAGTAATAGCTAGTCCAGAACTCCAGATACAAAGTCGAGAGAAAGAAATCACTGTGAATTCAAAGAGAAACATCAACCAAAATAAGAAAATAGGAATGTTTGAAGGTACAGTTATTTTGAAGCACATCATCCAAGGTTAAGGCAGAACCTTCGGAGCACACAGATTTGATGAATTTCAGGGCAAAAACAAATGATCAATAACTTGCCTTAATGGACACTACATTTACTGTTGTGAAGGACGTTTTACCAATGGAAATTTCAAGCATTTGCAGTAAAAAAGAAATGGGCAACAAAAAAGTGAGTTCACCCTCTGATACTGGTGATACAATCCAATTCAAAGATTCAACCATCTCTTAAAGATACATTATTGCTGGCATTATATGTCGATAGTGGTGATACCATCCAATTCAAAGATTCACACACAAAACCTCCTATAGTTTCATTGGTGATTTGCCTTCATTACTGTTTCTTCGCTGATTTCGTAAGAACATTTCTTATAATCGTTGGGGTTTTTAGCATATCAAAGAGTCTCCCTCACTAAGCTTCCATTAACGTGCTCCACTATGACGGTTATAATGATCTCCATGTACAAAAGATAAATGGTATCTTTATAGACAATCCTATTAAACTTTTCCTATCAAATGAATGCATATGGCATATTCATGCAAGAGCACACAGAGCTGGCCAACGAGCTACTTCAAGAGATCTTTTTTCAATATGAAATTATGAAATCTACCTAAGAATCAACAAATGCTTATTTTGTATATATCTTTTTTTGAGTTTTTAAACACTCGTATCTAACATCTAAAGATTTGATGGTCTCTATTCAATCTACATATGTTCTATTTTCAGATACATGTAGAGTGTTTGAGGTTTTTTGTTTTTTATTTTCTAATTACCTTTGGGTTGGTTGCTAGATTGAGACTTGATTTATTCTAAATCACTACAAATCCATATCCACCTCAACAAACCCATAAATTTAGAGCTCCAAAAGAATCTGCTGATTTGATAATCTTGAAATGGGCAGTCCAAAATAACGTATAAACTAAACCATCTTTAAGGACTAATTCTGGTATGGAAAATTGTTTCATGAGTAGGGGGATGGATTTATACATACATGTCCCCTAGGTATAAAGCATTCATTTTAAAAATAGATGTAAATAGGTTGTTTATCTAACAACAATTGCAATTAATAGTCCAAATGTTTTTTTTATAAAACTATCGTTTTAATTTTTAAATTTTATTTATTTATTATTTTCGTGATCTCCGTGTTAGAGATTATATGTCGTTAAAAATTAAGTAAAAAAAATCCATCTCAAAAACAGAGTTTTAAGAGAACTCATTTCTACATAGACTCGTAGAAATGATCGTTTTTTTATATTATTTGATCATTCATATGATAGACTGTCACAAGTTTCGATCCGCAATGCATCTTATATAACCCTAGACTTGGGTCTACCTCGCTTCCCATCACCGTTCCATCCACATTGCACAGTGAGGATTCAACGCACTATTCAGTGGGAGCATTCCCTAAATTTAAATTCACTCATTGAGCTTGTGGATCATCTCTCTCTCTCTCTCTTGGCTCAGTTCTAGGGGCTCTCTGAGTTCAGTTTATAGGGAGGGACAAATGGGCACTCTGAATTCTTCTTCTCTCCTCTTCTCTCACTTGATCACCTCCGTGTGGTCCTCAAATTGGAGGCAAATAGTGACCCCAAGATCGCTTTCTCTCACTAAAGTCACTGCCCAGTTTCTCACTCATTCATACCGCCCTGCACCATGCTCTTGGAGCTTCACCAAAAGACTGGTTGGTTCTACCTCAATTACACAGGCCAATACTACAATCAGCACTTCTCCATCCAACGTGTATTTCCTTTCTCATTTCTGTTCTTTTTTTTTTCTTTCTTGTCCTTCTTTTTGTTCCAATTTTCTTAGAAATTAAATTTTGGGTTCCATGAAAATGTCAAACAAAAGAGAAAATATTACTTTGGGTTTTCTTAGTTAAATTTCCGGCTCTGTTTTGCCCATTATTACTAACATTTAATGGAAATCTCGATATGAATGGTGATTCTCTTAAAGCAGGATGCTTTGTATGGGAGCGGTATTTATGGTGACTATTGATACAGTATAATATTTGTAGTGGCCATTGTTGCAGGGTAATGGAATTTGAATGTGAGTTTATTTGGTATACATTTTTTAATGCAGCTGGGTATGTGAACTAGAATGTGGGTTGATGTAGGACACATATTTATGTACCTGGGCATTTGAATTATGGAATACAGCTAGTTTATTCAGTTCGGTTTTATTGATTTTCTAACTCAAAGCTGAGTTTATGAGAACCCATGACGGACAAGAGCATATGCAAACCTAGACGCCAACTGCCATAGCTTGTGCATTGAGTTTTTCTAGTGCTTAAAAGTTACAGATTTTATCTTCATCTATTCTTTTTACAGACGAATCGGTTGTTTGAGTTTGATCTCTAGGGAAATGATATAGATTCGATTAACAGTTGTGATTAATTTTAACATATAACTTGACCATATGTGCACTGAGCAAGGATGCTCATGTTCCCATTCTGACATGAATGTAACAAGTGATAGATAATAGGTTTGCTGAGATTGTATCTTCCAATGTGTTCTCGATATACAAACAACAGTCTTTATTGTTATTGAGTTAATCTCGTACTCTTTTTACTGCATTAAGTACCTTATACATGAAGTCTATGGCTTGACTCAAATGTTCTGTATTTGTTGAAATCCTCATAATTGGGACGCAAACAATGGCGTTGCTGAGGTTGCATCTTCCTATGTATTCTCGATATAGAAACAACAGTCTTTATTGTTATTGGGTTATCTCGTGTTCTTTTTACTTCTTTCAATAAGAACCTTTTACATGAAGTCTATGGCTTGATTCAAATGTTGTGTATTTCTTAAATTGTCATTGGGAAGTAAAGATGTATAAAACCACATGCTTCAAAAACTACTTTTTCCATCCTTTTAATATTCCTTTTCATAGGTCATATTACTAAATCTTTATCACGGGGTCCTATCTATTTTATGGTTTCATTAATGCTAGAAATGAGCATTTGCAAATTTACATGAACATTTATTTATACTCCAAATTTAGAACATTTGGTTACTTTTAAACAATCCTTAGTACCCAAACTAAAAGCCTTGTATTACAGCTATCCTGGCTACACTAGCCTACTTCCGTGCCCATCAAAAAATGGACCACCAAGGATTGAACACCTAATAGTCTCAGAGGGAGGGCCTGTTCTTGACTATATATGCAAAGCTTTGGACCTCCCCACTTTGTAAGTTTGAAATCCTCACTCTTCAGGAGCTAACGAATAATGATCGATATCATTTTTGTTCAAGGTTTAGTTTTCAGCCCAAAAGTTTATTTTATTGAACAATACTAAAAAAAAAAAAGTTTATCTTGTTGAATTGAGGAGTCTAAAGTTATAATACATGTGAAGGTTTGTTGCAGATCTCATCCATTTTGGAGCAGTTTATTATGCATTGGTATCCCCTGAGCCTCCTCCAAGTGCCACCCCTGAGCAGGTGAAATTGTTCAAAGAAGCGACTGCACGATCGGTTTTGAGGAAGCGTGCATCTCTCAAAGGGAAAACTGTAAGGGAAGCACAAAAGACTTTTAGGATAACGCATGCTAATGAATTTGTGGAAGAGGGGACTTATCTACGAGTATATGTTCACCCAAAGCGGTTTCCGAGGTAACTGAATCAAAACTACTTTATATATATGAGATGTTGATGTTGTATTGGTTGAGTTCTATGTGTAATTGATTACAACAATTAGCCCCTGTTTTCGTGAAGCAGTTATCTTGTTTAGTTGTTGTTTTATCCGATATAGAGTAATTACATATCGAGCATGATGTGAATTAATTTTGTGTTCTCAATTCAGATGCTATGAAATTGATTGGAGATCAAGAGTCATTGCAGAGACTGAGTCATATGTTGTTCTTGACAAACCTGCTGCAACAACGGTTAGTACATTGTTCTTTGCTATCCCATTGTCTATATGTTTGAGGATGTGCGTCCAATCCCTTATAAATTGTGCATTATGTGCATGAGGGTTAAATTTTCATCTCGTGCAAGGATAGATCTGATGTTTGTAGTGCACTGTACACAGGTGTGACGTAGCATTCAGGTCTGCATGGCTTTTCATGTACCACTAAATTGGAGTTTGAATAATACTAGGCTTTCTTTTTATAATGAGATCTTGAACGTACTCCTGTATCTTTCAAATTTGTAGCTTTCCCTTTTTTTTTCTCGAAATGTTTGGACAATGCAATCCGAATGCATGAAATATTCGGCATCTGGACTTATGCATGCATGATGGACACGATTAATTTTATTTTAAATTCAAGGGCATTAGGATCTTTCCTATAGGCGAGGCGAGTTTTGGGCAAGTCAGTTGTGTACATCATATTTTTTTTTAGTTTAATTCTATTAATACATCGAATCTAAATTAAATGTGCCGAAGTGTCTTTTTGGCTAGTAGTACCACCTAAAGTTCAACCCGACTAGGTTCGAATCCCCATACTAGCCACCTTTTCCCACCTTTGAAAATGTCATTTTTTTTGAAGTTTTTTAAAAAATTTAACCCCCCGCCCGAATGGAGGTCTACACCCCTTGC